AAATATTTTAGGTTACATAGCAAAGGGGAATTAAGGTTGCAAATGAATTAAGGATGCTAATCAGCTGACCTTGAGATAGGGAAACTATTCTGGATTTTTTGGGTGGGCCCAATGTAATCACAAGGGTCATTAAAAGAGGAAGAGGAGGCAGAAGAGGAGTCAGAGTCAGGAGGAGATATGACCAAGGAAAAAAGGAATAAAGAAATGAGATGTGAGAAGCACTCAACCCACCACTGCAGGATTTGAAGATGGAGGAAGGGACCGCAAGCTAAGGAATGTGGGAAGTCTCTAGAAGCTGGGAAAGGCAAGTGAACAGATTCTCGCCTAGAGATGGTAGAAAGGAATGCAGCCCTGCCAACACCTTGACTTTAGTCCTTTGAAACCTATTTTGGACTCTGACCTCCAGAACTATAAGAGAATAAATTTGTGTTGTTTTAAACCACTATGTTTGTGGTACTTTGTTACAGCAGCAATAAGGAGCTAATACAATTGGAATATGGACCAAAAATCTAGATAAAAGTATTCTATCAGTGTTAAATTTCCTGACGTTGATAACTACTATGGTTATGTAAGAGAATGTTCTTGTTCTTAGGAAATATTCACTCAAGTATTTGGAGGTAAATGGGTATGATGTATGAGACCTACTCTCAAGTGATTCAGAAAAAATACACAGCATGTATGTACACACAAACACACACAAATACATAGAGAGAGAACAAATGATAAAGCAAATGGAAAATGTTAATAGGTAAATCTGAGTAAATGGCATATGGATGTTTCTTGTATTATTCTTGCAAATTTTCTGTAAGTTTGAAATTATTTCCAAATAAAAAAACTTTTAGTTTGATTGAAATGTATGATAATATCATTTGTTTCTAACTTCAGTGGAGATGAAAAATAATTAAACCATACCACCAAACTGTGTTCTTGAAAACTATGAAGGACTGTTTCCTGCACCCAATACTGACCTACTAAGTAAAAAATAAATTTCTCTAGATTTCATTGCTCTTTTTCACATCTACAACATTTACCAAGGACTACTCTGCAGCTGGTATCCTCAGACTAACAGTGTTAGGGAAAATCACACAATGTCTGTTCTTGAGATGTTAAGAATTTGAAGTGGGGAAAAAATGGACTAAAATTTTGGTAGACGTGCCCATCTGGAAAAATAGGTAGAACTTAGACTGATGGCAAGGAGGGAAGAGGCTGGGGAGGAGAAGGAATAGGTCAAGTCTTGGGGTCAAAAGGAAGTCCGCCAAGGACTGCCAGAGGGACTTCTCGCACATAGCACCTGGTACGGAGCAGATGCAGAGAGTCTGATGGTTCCCTTCATGCTTTATCCCTTGTCTTCAGGAAACCATGAAACTGAGAGCTTCTGGGAGAGCTGCTGGGAAATGAAGTTGGGTAAGTAGGCAACACGAAAGGTAGCCCACCTCCCTGCCTTTCTCTCCAAGTGATTCATAAGTCAGGTGCTAGAATTTCGACTTTTTTTCTGTAGGTACAAGAAAATCCCTACAAGGCTTTGGCTAATACGGAGACTTTTAGTCTTTCAGCAATTTTTTTTTTTTTGAGCTTTATTTATTATTGCCAAAAAGTGGAAGCAATAAATGTTCATCGAGTAGTGGTTAGCTCACTTGGTTAGGGCATACCCTTTCAACCCCAAGATCATGAGTTCAGTTTCCCATACTGGCCAGCCACCAAAAAAAAAAAAAAAATTACCTTGGGGAGAGGGGAGGGGAGGGGGTGGAGAGAAATGGGTAAAGGGGCATGAAAATCAACTACAATGTATTTTGAGAAGTAAAATTTAAAAAATAAAAATGATACAATGTTCGTTATATTCAACAGATACAGAAAAGCACAGTCACTAATAATCCCACCACTTAAAAAATCAAGTGTTAATGGTGGGTGGGTGTGCTTCCAGACCTCTCCATTCGTGTGTACAGACAGGATTGATGATGGGAATCACCATATGTTTAAAAGATTTTAGATTTAATTTTACTTGAATGCAATAGAAAAAAATTAGAAATGAAACTGAAAGGGCTGCTGAAATTCAGAAAAATGTTTCTTCACCTTAAGGGCCCTTGGTTCCTTTAAGAGGTAAGTAAGCCAGTGGTTGTCAAACTCCTGGATGCATGGGACTCCCCTGGAGGACTTGTTAAATCCCAGATTGCTTGGCCCCATGGCAAGGGTTTCTGATTCAGGAGATCTGGGGTGGGGCCAAGAATCTGCATTTCTTTTTTATGTCTTTTTTTTTTTTTTTTGTCCTTTTTGAGACCTGCTGCACCGCGCTCAGCCAGTGAGCGCACCGGCCATCCCTATATAGGATCCGAACCCGCGGCGGGAGCGCTGCTGCGCGCTCCCAGCGCCGTCCTCTCCCGAGTGCGCCACGGGCTCGGCCCAGAATCTGCATTTCTAACAAGTTCCCAGGTGATGCTGATGTTGCTTGTCCACGATCACACTTTGAGAACCACTGGCTAAGGTCAAGAAAAAAAAAAAAGACTGTGAAACACTTAATGTAGTCACTAGGGTTTTTTTCCCCTATTTTGTAATCTTAAGACATTATGACTTGACATGACACCCAGCCACGAAAGATGAAGCAGTTAGCTCTTAGTCTTTGTCCCATCTTCCCTCCCCCATGTCCCAATTTGTCAATGTACATTAATTTTTTTGTCAAGATTTCTAACATTACATTCTATTCTACAACTATGATTCCTCAGTTTTGAAATCTTACTTTTGTTTTTAATTAACTCAGAGCTCATAATCATTCCTTTTGCTGGAACTTTGTTGGGGAACCTGATATTCCCTCTCCTGGGTTCCCATTAAATGTCCAGAAGCAGGGCTCACTGAGCCCAGTCAAAGTTGTGTCTTACCCCTGTGGGCTTTGGCTTCCCGAGGCTGCTCTGGGACCCGGGAAATGCCTATTCCTGGTGAATCTTTCCCCTTCTGCTGAGGTCCTGAGATGGTAGCAAGGACTTCGTTATCCCAAGGGTTTTCCTTGACTCTCCTCCACGTGGCCTAGTCACCCTGTCAGTACCTTTGTTCATACTGGGGCCCACTGTTACCAAGATTTTTGTTAACTCCATTTCTTTACTCAGTGCTTCTTATGGGGGACGAGGGAGGGTTCAAAGTCATACCATACCTTGTTGCATTAGCATCTTCTCCCTTTCTTGCTTGGTTGCTGCTAGTGAATTTGTACCTGGTGGTTTATGGAGTTTGCTAGATAATGGAGAAGGAAAGTTTCCAATCCAGCTTTACTTTTCCTGCTTCCACCTGGAAGTATCCCCATCCTTTCTAAAAAACTATTCAGAAATGTAGGACTTATTAGGTAAAATGTGGTACATATTATGTATCTACATAAATTGTTATAATGTAAACAGCAGTTTTTTACAAATACTAAAAAATGAAAATGTATCCTCCAAAATATTTATAATAGTTTTCTCTGTGATAAGACTGCGAGCCATTTTTTAATTGAAATTTATATTGAGATAATTATGGATTCACGTGCAGCTGTAAGAAATAATACAGAGAAATCCCATGTATACTTTATTCAGTTTCCCCCAATGCATCATCAGTTTTTAAAATCAGCAAAACCACTGATAGAATAGTGCCTTCTCAGGTTTGTGAAACCAGCAGGGAAGAAATGTGGTAAGCAGATGCTTAACCAGGAATGCCACTTTTCTCTCAACTTTTTGTGTACATGTCCATTACAGTACTTAACAGTCTATACTGCAATTCTTTGTTTTTGTGAATCTCCTCCTCAATAGTTTATGAGGTTCCTCAGAGCAGGGATTGTGTCTCATTATCTTTGTCTTCCCATTGTTCACGAAGGGCTTAGCACACAGGGGAGGTAATGGTGTGGGACTTATCACAAAAAACTTCTCAAGTCTTGTGCGTTTGAGAATCAAAATTCTTTCCAGCCAATAAAAACGCTGTGAATAACATTTTGTTCAACCTCCACATGAAAATTAGATATGTAGTTCCTAATAAACATATTCTACTCACTACTCATTCATTCATCATTCAACTAACATGTTATGAGTTCCTACTACATGTCAAGTAGGATGTGGGGTGCTGGGGATACCATACTGAACAAGACAGACATGGTCCCTGTCCTTATTTTACAGTCTAAATTACAAAGCAAGTCTTTTCTCTTTAGGCTTTAGTTTATTCTTACGCATGCAATGTTTTCTGTAAGTATTCTGCAGATAACATTCTTTGTATTTTGAGACAGTACCAAAAGTATATCCAAATATGCCTAAATAGGGGATCAGTTGTGGAGCCAGTAACATCACATCAAACATCTAGCCCTTAGGTGCTACAATAAATAAAATTAGAGCTATAGAATCAATGCCATTTACTGAATTACATTTCTATATTTAATGTCTGTTTTCCCTATTAGACTGTTCGTACCATAAAGGCAGGGTCCATGTGTCTTGTCCTCCTGTTCATTGCTATAATTTTAGCACAGTATCTGTGCAGTAATATTTGTTAACCAAATGATTACATATTCAAGGCTCACAACTGTCCCCTACAACATGGGAATAAATGAAATCAATTATTTTAAGATTTAAGACAGGTTTTATAAGTACCTAACATAATATAAAGTTGCCATACTATTGTGTACATGCATTTCTTTCTTACCATAAGTAGGATGTTAAATATATTTGGCAACCTTGATCTATAGAGGTGGTACATGGCACAAGACACACCATGTACCTACATTTATTACCCAATTAGCAATGAATCAAATGCTTTTGCCCCTCCATCACTGACCCACTTAAGGAAAAGGCTGCCCCATCTTTTAAAGGTATATAAAAAAAACTGTAGGAAGATTTTTTTATAATATGGTCATGAAAAACAAAATTCTTAATGACTTTCATATTTCGATTTAAAAAGCTCTGACTTTATAACTGAAGAACAGTGTTTTAAACATCAACAGGTCCTACCCAAGGCTGTAAGTCTCATAAAAAATTAAAACAATGTTCTCACAAATTAGCAAGTAACTTCCTCAAGCAGAAAGAGCAACAATATTTTATTTTATTACAAATAAACATTTCACAAAAACTTAATTGGGAATGTATATGCACTGTTAAGCAGAACACAGAAAACATAAAGAAATAAGGTATTGGAACCTGAAAGTTTCATTTAAAATCCCATCAATTTTATCTTACACATAGTAGGTACGCCATACATATCAACTGAACTGAAAATAAACACTATAAGATGTGCTTGCAAAATGTGTAAATGCTGTAATAGTAAAGTACAATTTTCAAATATGAGATTTTGTCTGTTAGATTTTTAAAAAGCCTTTAAAAATATGATATGCACAAGCTCGCCCTGAGGGAAGAATAAGATGGAATATAGATTACAAAATCTTTACATATTTTCCACAATAGCATTTTGAAATTGGAAAAGAGCAAATAGTTGTGGGAAAAACTGAATGAACATATTTACTAAAAATTCAGTGCACTCGCAACTACCTGATGGAAAATTTGAAGCACCTTTTCTCTTGCCTTCTTATATCATAATATGAAATGTATGAATAATATAGGCCTTGATCTTCAGAAACTTAAGAAAACTTCAAGTTGTAAGCCAAAATGTCATCAGAAAAAGAAAAATCCAGTATAAAATTTGCTACCATAAGGCCACTGTTTAAAGTTCTTTCATGTACAGACACTATACAATTCAGACACTTTTGTTTTTATTTTTATTACGTAAGCGAAACTTCCAACATATAAATGTCTGAATATAACTTGGTTAAGTTCTTTTGATGAAACCATGCTCAGAGAAAAATGGGTCAACAAATAATGCCCTTCAAGTGATTCTTTTGAGATTTTTTGCAAAAGAAACTGTAGTTAATACAACTTTTAAATTGAATACTGTAATTTAAAAGCAATTGTTAAGTGTAAAAAAGTTGCAGCATTCCACTACTGAAAAATAAAGTTATTTTATCAAGAAAGTTACAGTATTAATGTCTTAGTGCCAATTCTAACTCCTGACAAAAAGAGATATTCCCAAACAATCTCCTGCAGTGTTGTTTCCATTTGTAACAATTCCAGATTAGTTTTCTGTGGCAACGTTTGTATATTCCTATTGAGAGAAAAACAAGAGAAATACAGACTTCAAAAGAAGCATCAGTTGTAAAATCGGAGCTAGAGTTTTGTTCACACTGCAATTTTCAAAATATTTTAATTTATACAGCACTATTTGCACTCTGAGACCCCCACAAAGGTATATGGAACCCCAAAGAAGCCAAGTTTAACAACAGAACACATTAAAGCAGATATCAAACGATAAATCAGTAGGACAAAGAAAACATATGGCACTAGGTAACGCTGGTATTAGTAAGTTGATGAAAATAGCATTCTGCTATTTGGGTGAGTTTCAGTGGGGGCATCCCTGGCATAAAATTAAGACTCTTAAACCTTAGTCTCTCAAGTACAGAGCCTGATGTGACACACACACAACTTCAAACAAGTATTTTATGTTTTTCCATCACAATTCTAAAGCAATATGGACCCTTCCAACTTGACTGAAAACTGCGGAGAAAGTTATGAGAGGGGGGAAAGCTTTCTTGATTTTGGATGGTTACCCACAACATAAAATGATATACGACTTCAATAAATACAGGAAAAGGAATTCACAAGAACAATAAGACTATGATTAAAGGGTAATGAATGTGGATTCTATACTGTGACATTATACAAAATATTAAATTACCAACCACAAAACTGGAAGTAAGACCATGCAACTAATAAGACAGCAAAAAATGGTAGAATGGCATGTTTTTCAGGGACATTAAAAAATAAAATTTATTAATACATATATCCTTACCTTTTATTAGGATCTTACATTATTAAAACTGAAAGAAATTTAAAAGTTAATTTATTTTTTGGCATTTATGCTAGTATGGAAAAATTTAATTCCAAACAAAAACAGTGCTAATAGAAAATTCTTATTCTTTCTATTTTGGTTAATGAAATGTTCAAAATACATGCATATATATTTTTGTCAACATCATTCCTTTAAATAGAGGTAGACTTCACTGTATCCCATTTCTTAACTCATTATACAATATAAAAATCATATAAATTTACCTCCAAATAAAATATCTGTTACCTACCAACAACTTTAAAAGGAAATTATAACTACAATAATTCTAAAAAATTTCAGCTGAAATATCTTGTTTATAAAAATGTGTGATTATTCTGAATTACGTTCACCCTTAACAAAGTTTCTTCTATACCAGCCCTCAAATGGACCCCCCCCCCCCCGACAGTGATTTCAAAGCCTATTTTAAGTAGAATGCTGAACTAGATATATGAGCACCCTTCTCATTTAGGTTTTCATAACTTGACACATGGGAACATAAAATGTTCCCTTATTGGTTTTCTTGCACATCATCTCCCTTCCCCAGAACCCTGCCTACCCACTGCTAACTAAGTGATTATCCTAAAGTACCACGTCCTCCTTTTCAGTGTGAAAAGATGTCCTACTGCTACCACATCAAATCCTAAATACTTCCTGTCATTTGATTGTGTCTCCCAAATTTCATGTGTTGGGAACTTAATCCCCAAATCATATGTTGATGGCATTTGAGATGGGGCCTTTGGGAGGTAATTAGGATTAGATACTAGGTCATCAGGGTGGGGCACACATGACGGGACTGGTGGCTTTCTAAGAAGAGAAAGAGAACTGCACTGACACACATGGCTCTTGCCCTCTTGCCATGTGATGCCCTCCACCACATTAAGAAGGCCCTCTCCAGATGCCGGCCTGTTGACCTTGGACTTCCCAACCTCCAGAACTGTGAGCTAAATAAACCTCTGTTCTTTATAAATTATCCAGTCTGTGGTACTCTGTTATAGCAACAAAAAATGGACTGACAATATTCTCCTCAGCTTTTAAGACTCTATAATTTGCATACCCCCATTTCTCCCCAACCCTACATCCTACTGCCCAACATGGATCTCTCGCTTTAGCCCTTTATATGTCCTGTTCTTCTCCATGCCTCAGCTTACAACCTACCTCCTCTGTGAAGAGAGCATCAATGAAAGTAATTAGCATACATCCCCTGACCATTTCTACCATGTTGATCTTCTCCTCCCTTTAGGCATTTACCATCTGTGAAATTAAGCTCTTCAAAAATATGGCTATGCAGAAAAGAGTTAACATAGCAGATCTGACTGCTGTCCTTTGAAAGGCCAGTTTACAAGGTTGACCATTGGTCAGCATCTGGGAGCTTAGATTTCAAGAGGGTTCCTATCATTAACTGGTGAGTACTGGAACTGTAAAAACAATATGGTGTATGCCGAGCACCTGCTTTCCTCCTGGGAGTCTGGAATTTGGGTATGTGCCTGGCAGGGGTGCCTATATGACCAGCCCCCAGTGAAAACCCTGGGCACGGAAGCTCGAGTGAGCTTCTCAGGCTGGCAACATTTCGTACATGTTGTCACAACTCGTTGCAGGGGGAATTAAGTACGTCCTGTGTGACTCCAGTGGGAGAGGACCCTCGGAAACTTGTGCCTGGTTTCCTCTGGACTTGGCCCCACGTGCCTCTTCCCTTTTGCTGATTTTGCTGCATATCTTTTCACTGTAATAAATCAGCCATGAGTTCAACTATATGCTGAGTCCTCTGCGTTCTCCCAGCAAACCATCAAACCTGGGGGTGGTCTTGGGGACCCCTGACACAATGGTTTTTGTTCACTAACTTTTTAGAACATATGGATGGATGTGTGAATGTGTGCATATATATGATTAGGTTCAATTTCATTCAACAAACATTTTCTAAAGATTAATTGTACGAAAGGCAATAGGGGAAGATAAGAGACTAATGAGACACGCTTTACCCTCAAGAAGTTGATAATCTATTTGGGGAAATCGGAAGGTAAATAGCAATAATAATGGACCAAATGAAACATGAGTTGAAGGGGCTTTGGTAAGGCTTTACAGTGGGTCTTAAAAGGAATGTAGGGTTTAATAAGAAAAGAATGGGAATCAGGAGACTATTTCTGGCCAAAAGAAGAGCAGGAACAAAAATACAAATACATGAAAACACATGTTATGCTCCAAAAAGCAGAGGGTCCATGGGATATGAGGCTAGAAAGGTAGTTTAAGGCTAGACCTGGCTCTAAGTTTGGTCTCATTTTTTGTAGGCAACAGAATACTTGAAAAGTGTTTGTGCAAGAGTGGTAGGGTACAATCTGTGTCTCAGGACAATAACTGTGCTAGTAGTGAAGCGACTGAATAAATAAATCTCTGGAGGCAAGGAAACAAGTTAGAAGGCTCCACAGCTTCAAAAACCAGACCAGGAATACATAAGAATGTAGAATACTGTAAAGGGGCATTTTCAATTGGCAGGGAAAGGACAAATTATTCAACAACTGTGTTAGAAAAATGGGCTATCCGTTGGGAAAAATATTAGATCCTGACCTCACATTATATCTATTAAATTCTCAATGTATTAAATATTTATATGTTTAAAAAGTTAACCATAAAACCAGTTAAAGTAAATAAAGTAAAGAATGCTTATAAGCATAAGCATGATATGAAATCTAGAAGCCATATGGGATAAACTTGACAGAGCCACGAACATCTAAAAGTTCTATAATGTAAAAGCCAGGATAAACAGCTGCTGAACATAAAATAAACACCAGCAAATGTATGACAAGTTAACACCCTCAGTAGATCAAGAGGTATTGTAGATCAACAAGAAGAAGTACCATCCCCCAACAGAAACACTGGCAAATTATAGAAATAAGAAAATTGAGGGAAGAAATACAAATAGCCAATGAACACATAAAAAAGATGCTCACACTATCAATAATCAAAGAAAGGCAAATGAGAACTACTTTCTGCTATGTGACCAAAAACTGGTAATAAGGACTGACAATGCGCAGTGCTGGCTAGAGTGTAGGTAAACAGGCCCTTTCATGTACTGCTGGTGAGAGTATAAATAAGTAAAAAGGGCAATATGGCAAGGCACCGAACTGTCAATGTGCCCAAGTGATATTGCTGAAAATAATGAAACCTGTAAGCTATTCCGAAGTCATCAACAATGATCCGTTGAAACTGTGGTATGCATACCTTGGAGTATATGAATACTTCCCATGGGGTATGTGGGTACAGATAGTTTTAGGAAATTAATGTCTAGATCATCAAATTCCCAATGTTCACTTTCCAAAATTATCCTGGCTGCACAATTGGTTAAGGCTGGTTCTCCACCTCCCACTTTACACAAGAAAGATACACCTTCTCATCCTGAATCTTACTATTTTTTATTACCTGGGGACCCCCAAAAAAGGAGCAATTTGAAATATTGGTGATAGTGTCAAGAAAGTGAACCAATCCTAACAACTACTCATAAATAGCATACTTCTGCAAGCCAGATGGTATCCAGTTCTTTGCCTTTGTTTAATAAAATTGAAGGAGGACAAAATCAAGTTGTCAGTGACAGAACATTCAAAACACTTTTTGATGATAGATTACTAAGTGATTTTTTTTTTTTGGGGGTCTATAATTCAGAGTGAGTCCAAAGAACCAAGTGGCACTGCTATAATAGAAGTCCTTTCATTCTCATCTATATAATCATATAAACAAGGTTTCTCAGCATTTATATCTATAAAAAGAAAAAAATAGAATTAGAATAGATACTTGAACACTGTTACTCTACTAGCAATAAGTCATATTTATCATGTATGAATACATGAACTTGAAAAAATAAATGCATTTCCATTAAAACCTCGTTTGTTTAATCAATACTTAAAATTTGTAATATATTTATGGTATTTTGATCAATTGTAATATTAACTCAATCCAAAGGAAATATTTAACACCTAATAGTTAAAGAATCTAATAACCTTACATGCTAAATTAGATTTGGTGATCGATAAAATACTTTTGAAGTAAAATTCTATGGGGAAAGTGGAGTGAAGTCCAAATTCAAGGCAAAAAGGAACAATGTAAAATTTCTCACTGTTAAGAGAGTTTGTGTATTTTTAAAAATAGATGATGTTAGTTATCAAATTCCTGTGGTATGCAGGTTCCACTGAAGGGATTTAAATGAATGATGTGACAGTTTTATTTAAGAC